TGTACCTGGCCACCTACCTGAAATATTTACTGTAGCGTGTGTTGCTTTTACGTCCACCAGATGGCGGTGGAAACATTGAAATGGAATCATGAAATATTTAGTATAGCGTGTGTTGCTTTTACGTCCACCAGATGGCGCTGGTTTTCAAAAAAGCATGTTTTTACAGAAAATCATGTTTTTACCTGTCACAGATGTGACATTTATTTAATATACGTATATAAAAACATTCGCGTATTTGAATGCAACCTTGTATCAAAATTTCAAAGCAATCGGTGAAGAACTTTCAGAGATTAGCTATTTTGAACAAGCAGCCATTACATTTTTATTTATATAGATAATTACAATGAGGAAAACCATTCTCCATAATATTAATAACTTCCTGCAGGATGGAAACTCAATCACCTACCAATTCTCAAAGGTTTTCAGAAATTGCCAGATTTTAGCAGCTTCCCAAAATGCCAACAGGGTTGCTGGCATAGAAAGCATTGGTTTAGGCAGTTTTATTTTTCTTACACATAACAAATAGTCACTAAAGGACCAGTGGAAGATTTTCATCTATTTCAGATCCCTTTGAACAAAGTTTTTCAGGCATGCAAATGTTTTTTAAAGAAGAAAAGAGAATTCATGGTTTATTTACATCTACCTGTTGGAATAGACATTTAAAAAGCTAACAACAACAACTACAAAAAAAAAATCCACCTCCAAAGCAGAGCAACAAAGAAAGGAGTGTGATGTTCTTACTCATACACAGCTTAGCTTTTGATGTTTGTCACCTCTGCTGTGGTGTGAGACTCGGTCCCCAAGCACTGAGGCACAGTTACAGCACAATGGAGGATTGATAGCTGTGTGAACTTTCTCCTATCTCATCTCAGCACAAGCTGAGGTATGTTTACAAGTGACTCAGGGCAAATGGAATGAGTCAATTTTCATGGAGACATCATCTAAGATTCCTTGTTTAACTTCCCAGCAGAGCTTACATCCCTGGACATTCTTGATAGTTTTTCTGTTCAAGTAATGTCCGACTTTGCTTAGCTTTTAAATAATTCAATCCCATGGAAGTCAGTGGACACAACTCTAGGATTACTTAACAGAGGGCTATAAGGGCTGACTGATTTCCACATCTGCACTCTCCTGCAGCTACGTTTAGCTTTGATATAAGAGGTTCCCCTCACACATATGTGCTAGTTGTTCCTGACTCTAGGGGGCAGTGCTCATCTCTGTTTCAGAGCCAAAGAGCCAACACTGTCCGAAGACCTCTCCATGGACATGTGCCTGGTATGACTAAATGCCAAAAACACACAGAACGCTATTACCTTCCCACCAAAGATCGTTCCTATTTTTCTACTTGCATTTTTACATGCTTTCGAACAGCTAGGTTGGCAGAAGCTGGGACAAGTAACAGGAGCTCACTCCATTATACGGCACTAGGGATTTGAACTGCCGACCTTTCGATCGACAAGCTCAGCATCTTAGCCACTGAGCCATCGCATCCCTAGCTTTGAGATATTCTATGCTATTACCAGTGTATCCCTTAATCCCCTCTGATAGCTTTCTGAATGACTTTATGTAGGCGCTTCTAATGGTTGTTGTTTATATCCTATGTTAACCTTTCCAATCACTTTCTGATTCTGTATTGTGAAGAGTGGTATACCATTTCAAATATTTATTCACCGTTAACTGAATTTGCATGTTCTAAATCCCAAGATAATAAGAATAGGAGGGAATCACATTTTGTCGTTGGGCATCTCTCTCTCTCTCCCATGCTGATTTGTGAATGTCTTTCCTGACAGATCATCAGAAGCTAGAACGAGAGGCTCGGATCTGCCGCCTTCTGAAACATCCTAACATAGGTAGGAAAAAGCTCTCTAAGTCTTTCTATGGGATTTTGCATGCTTCTGTTACTCCTTTCTTTCATTTCTGGTAAATGACAGGAACCCAACATCAGTATTCTCATACTGTATATTTCAAAGGCAAACATTACCTGGTGCTGTTTGTTCATTCAGCAGTTTTAATTTACTCCTATGAAGACATGGGAGACCTTCTCTGGCAGCCTTTCCCAATTTATTGTACCCTGCATCTTCCCATCCTCCTGGGCCATGCTGACCTGGGACTATTTCAGAATTTGCAAATGCATGTTCAATTGATGAGATAATGTGCTGTTGAGGAGAGATCATTAACATAAAAAGATATTCAGCAAGAATTTTACAGTGATCTTTAGTGCTAAGGTTGTTTCATTCCTTCTCCTTTTATTGTTTTGCTCTGAAAAATGTGTTTGAGAGCGCATTTCCATATGTATTCATCCCCCTCCTTGCTTTCAGTTTCCTTTGCAAACACCCCCACACACATTCTCTTTCTCTCTGTGTGCATTAGTGTTTTGTAATATAAGAAATGGAATAGGCCATAATTTGCAGTCTGAAATGATTACGGCTCAGATCCAAGTTTATCAAAGATTAGCTTTGGTTTGAAGAGTCTTGGCAGGTTCTCTCCCAATGGACTTCCTTTTTTGTCATTAACATCTTTTTTTAACTTATCCATGTCTTTAACTGACCTGTGATAGTAGCCTTAATGCAAAGTTGTCATGTTAATTGGCTATAAATCTTTTTTTTCCTGAAGTATCTGGACATATATTATCATACTTTGCAGGATATGGAATTTAGTAGCAAGGTGGACTCTTTCCTGCTGCCTTAATTCTACACATCTGATTTGGGGACAATGACCCTTATAGGCCAAAGAAGGCCAAATGAACATTCCTCTTCTTGAATTACCCTCTTTTGTTTTTTTCTGAATGTGTTTAGTCAATGGGGGAACAACCTACAGTCCTCAGTTGGCATGTGGCTCTTGGCCAAAGCATATGCTTCCTCAAAGGAATTTACAAGGCCTTTTCAAGCAAGCAATTTAGATCCCTAGTAAGATGTTCCCTCACTTGGAAAATTGCTCAATGGAAGGTAAATGAAAGAAAAACAGAGCATTGGAGAGAGGGCAGGTGGGAGAAGGAAGAAAAGGAAAGATAGATTTCAGAGAAAGATGTGACTTGATATAATTTACTTGGACTTCAGTAAGGCATTTGATAAAGTAGACCATAATCTACTACTAGATAAAGTAGAAAAATGTGGGATAGACAGCATCACCACCAGATGGATTTGTAACTGGCTGACCAACCACACTCAACATGTAGTCCTCAACGGAACTGCATCTACATGGAAGGAAGTATGTAGTGGAGTATCCAAGGGCTCTGTTTTAGGCCCAGTACTCTTCAACATCTTCATCAATGATTTAGATGAGGGGATAAATGGGGAACTCATCAAATTTGCAGATGACACCAAGCTGGCAGGAATAGCCAACACTCCAGAAGACAGGCTTAAGATACAGAATGTACTAACCTGAACATTGGACACTCTAATAAAATGAAATTCAGTGGTGAAAAGAGCAAGGTTCTACATTTAGT